TTTCTTCTTCTTTTCTCTCTCTCTCTTTTTTCCGTTATGTGCTGCTTTGTTTCTTTCTTCCGCTTACGCCAGTAAATATGATAGCACCTACTTTTCTAACACCTTCAAACACTGTTCAACTTCGGCTTTACTACCGACATGCCAATATGTTGTTGTCATAATGAACTGAGGTTTCCTTAATCTATGTAGAATTTTATTTATTGATAATGTACTAACTGGATGTAATACTGTAGTAAAAAAAAATGCTGAGAATTCCATTCTGTATCACAAGTACTGTTTTGGAATAAAGCAAATTATTATTATTACTATTATTATTATTTTTAAATTATCCATGTTGATTACTCATAAGGTTTATGAGTATTTTTTGGTTGGCGATTGCTATACTACTGATATACCTCTTTGATGCTTCAGTATTAAGGGAAAAAACCAAACCCCGCTTTGAGCATGGTTGCATTTAAAATTCAGTGAATCATTATTTTTAACTTTTACTGAATCAAAATGTAGGAAAACTGTCATTTTATAACATTAGTGAATAGTCTTCTTCACATCTCCCAATTCTGTTGACTCTTCTGGTTATAATTTTTCATTACAATTTCCAAAAGTTCATCTCAAACATAATCAGCAGTGAGCAATGATAAGATTTATTATTTTTTTTAATCGTGGCTAGCAGTGGAAGAATCCAAGGCGTACACTTCATTCTGTTTGAGACTTGTCGGCTGGGTGTGTTCCCATCGATATTCGAATTCATCCTCTGTCGTTTCAAATACCGAAGCCAAGGAGTACTGGACAGCTGCTTCACCCTCATCAGTATGCACTCACTGGGGTTCGGACCAAGGATCTTCCGGTTATGGGGCTAGCCCATAGACCATTCAGCCACTGGGACCCCCCAACGCAATGGTCCATGAATTCCAACTTCTGCTAATTCGTGAAATATTTGGAGCAACCATCAATCAATATCACAGGCGAGTAACTGTCCTCTTGCCTGACCCTCTGGCGTCGTAACTAACTAGAAGTTCCTGGGTTCGAACCCTGGTGAGTGTGTACTATTGAAGAGTGTCAAACTAGGACGAAACAGCTATCCAGTACTCTCTGGTTTTCCAGTTGTTCTCTAACTAATGTCAGCTCGTGATTAGTCCTGCAAACTAACATATGGCGAAGAAAAAATACGCCGAAGCATTATCTACTGGGGCAGAAGAACCACCTTTTCAGCCATGGCTATCAATTATTATTATTATTATTTGTTTAAGTTATTTTGGTATTTCCTGTTGGTTGATTTATATATTACACTGAATTGCTCAGTCTGCACTGCTAACTGCCATCAATTAAATAAAGTCATTGTTAACCTTTAGACCTCATCGAAATGTTTGTACAGGGTAGTCGATATGTCAACTGAGTGAGTGACTGACTGAATTTCAACATTATTTATTTATTTTTAATTATTTTTGATTACAGCTTGATTCCACACAGTATTTTTATGGTACAAGTATGGAATTTTCAGCATGGATATCGGTAGCCCAAATTTTGCAGGCCGACCATAGATATCAGGTGTGCGTCGGCAGGGGATCGAACCCCGTACCATATGCATGGTCAGCGAGAGTCCTAACCACTGTGCCACCGACGCACACATAAGTACAGCAGTTCAAGTTACCATACTCTATATCGCACATAAAGTAGAGGAAAGAGAGTAAAAATGGGATAGAATACGTAGGATTTACAACAACACAAGATGATCAGCGTAAAGAAATAAACGTCCTATTCAAAATGTTACTCGACAACAGCTACCCAAAAAGAATTTATCAGAGATAATATAAAGAAGAGAAAAAAAGAGGGTAAAACCAGAGAATGACAAGAACCGAGGAAGGCAGAAAAAAAGCACAATCATTATACCATACAAAAATGGTACATCAGAGGCGTAATTCGAAGAAACCTCAACAATATTGGGATTCCCACCACGTTTAAACCAACGAATCTAATTAAAAATAAGATAAATCAACTGAAAGATCCCATAAAAATGATGCATAAAAATAATGTAATTTACAAAATATCTTGTGCTGAGTGTCCGACTAAATATGTCGGTCAAACGTCCAGATCACTCAAAATAAGAGTGAATGAACATGAACGCCTAACTAAAGGTCAACCAACAAGAACACAAGCTTACAAGAATTTAGGAAGAAATTCATCTATAGCTGCATATGCATGGGACAAAAACCACAATATCGACTGGAACAATGTTTGTGTATTCTGAAAACTAACATGAACAAATGGAAACAGAGACTTATAACAGAATCTATATTCACATTAAGGTCACACCGGATACATGTAACAAGGATGACTCAGCAGCACAACTGTCAACAACCTGGAATATAATTCTGAATACACAAAAATAAATGAACAAAAAAAAAGTACTATATATATGAGTACAAATCATAAATGTGTGAATAAAAAAATTAAAAAAACACAACTCCAACAATTGGTGTGAACGCGGGCAGTAATTCTGCACGAAATATTACCAAAAAACAAAAACTTATCATTGTGTGTAAACTATTGAAATATAATTATAATTTATTTCAATATTTGGTTCGTAAGGATTAGTTTTGTTTTTACGAGTTGATCACGGATTGATATCAGTTAGAGAACCATTGGAAACCAGACAGTATTGGACAGCTGTTTCGTCCCACTTTGGGACTCATCGGCAGTACACACCCACTGCCAGGGGTCGTGCCCAGCACCTTCCGGTTACAAGGCAAGCTCGTATACCATTCAGCCACTGGGACCCGATACCCAATGGCCAGTGCATGAATTGTAACTTCTACCAATTCATGATTTAGCGCGACTGGCACCAACCAATGTCATCGGTGGGAAATCCATCCTCACACTTGACTGGATGGACCTCACTGGTCACGACTTCTCACTAGAACTCGAGGAAACTCCGTCCTGTAATTTATTTGATCTATTCCACAATACTCAAACTTTTTACTGCCATTGATGATTTAAAGGAACTATACTGATGGGTAGAAATGTGCCTGCGGGGGCACGGAGAGGGGGGCGAATAGATATGGAAGATCACATAAAAAAATTGAATGCGTCTACACTATCATTGAGAACGGCATTGATATATACAGACCTAATTTCCTATATTTCATTTTTACATGTGTTTGTACTTCGCTCACCCCACTTATCGATTTATGACCTGACTTTCTATCACCCTATTTATGACCTTTGGAATCCTATTGGTTGTTTACTGTCCTAATTTTTCAATGACATTAATGCTTCCCAAGGTCATTTTAAAACATATATATACGCAAGCTCTGTCACCCTCTTTTGACTGTTATTTTGAGATAGTAAAAGCTCTCTTACCAACGTCAAGTCTTCTTTGGTGTCTTATGGCCCGGCGACAATATTGCTGTTGTTGTTGGCGTGCGAATAGGACAGATTAGCTAGCGCATTAAAGTTAGTATTCGTTCATAGTCTTCTAGGTCATAGTTCCGGTCATAAGAGATATATCAACAAACATGTGACATTTCAGTCCAGTGGATTTCAACCAACCAGACCGAAATAACTGAAACAAATGTGAAGACGATGTGATTTAGTGTGCAATCACTTAGATTTCCACACACAAGGCTAATAAATCAAAGATACTATCGCGGAATAAATATACGTCTCAAATTTTCTTTTTTACAATTCATGACAAATGATGAATGGTAGTAGGAGAGAAATTTCAGCACTTTATTTCGTGAATTCTCTTCAACTGCTTACATCCTAAACAGAATCAATTATAAGTTACAAAATGGTGTCTGAACATACTCCTTTTTACAATGACTTCAAGTTATAGGTAGAGAGTATAAGCAACATAATTTCAAAGATAATGTAAGTAGACAATTATTTAGTGTTAAATAATCAATACAAAAAGAAAAGCAGAGTTATTTCGGTTCGCAGAAGCCATTGACATCGAAAGACTTCGAGCCAACCTAAGTATACAGAAAGATAGTGTAACTAATCTCTCACTACCCTTGTAACCATAATTATTTTGTTCATGTGCTTTTGTGTTTTGCTCTGTTGCATACATATAACATCCAACTCAATCTTCATTTTGATTTTCACTCACTGAGTTGAACTCACTATTAAGTTTCGAAATCTACTAAATGAAGTTATTTCATCTATTTTATAATTTTACTTCACCATTCACTATAATGTGTATAAATTGACTCTGTTGTTCTGTCTTTTATTTTGTCTCTAGTTCGTCCTTGTTTACAAACAAAATCTGAAGTTTACCTCCTTGTCTAATTACTATATAAATAGTTACTGATTTTAACACTAAATAATTGTCTACTTACATCATCTTTCTACCTATAATTGATTTGTTTACAGGACTTCATCATGAGTTGACATCGGTTAGAGAACCATTGGAAAACCAGCTGGGAGTACTGGACAGCTGTTTCCTCCTAGTTCTTCAGCAGTACGCACCCACCACCAGGTTTCGAATCCGCGACCTTCTGTTTACAAGGCAAGCTGGCTCATAGACCATTAAGCCACTGGACTCGATTCAATGGCCAGTGCATGATTTCCAACTTCTGCCAATTCACGACATAGTGTCTTCGGCGAGTATTTGTCCTCACGCCCGACCTGCTGTACCCTACTGGTCACGACTTCCCACTAGAACCCCAGGTAACTACCTACCTAAATAGAGCCAGTCGCTAGTGAGCATCTCATCTCCTGGGCTCGAACCCCGGTGGGTGCGTACTGATGAAGAGTCCCAAACTAGGATGAAACAGCTGTCCAGTACTCCCAGGTTTTCCACTGGTTCTCTAACCGATGTCAGCTCATGATGAAATCCTGTAACCAATCAATCAAATCCCTACAAACCAATATAATTGATTTATTTAGGATGTACGCAGTTGAAGAGAATCCATAAAGTAAAGTGAGGTCGTATTATCCTTCAAATATGTTCATTCTTTCTTTCTTTATATAAATATATATTATATAATTTTGTTTTTATCTAGTCAAGAAATCATCGATCAAAGTTATCTGCTCGTAGTACAATAACAACCGAAGGTACAATAACTGAAATAACCTCTACAACTAATAATACTAATAATGAAAGGAAGGATGAATTAACTGCAATGAATCTTATCAATTTATCAAATCGTGCTAAAGCTTTATCCCTATACAGTTTCCCTTATATTATTAAAAGTGTAGAATTAAAAGCCAACAATCTGTATGAACGTAAAGCTAGACAAATGAGACAAGCTGTAGGCAGACGTATGTATTCAGATGCTGAACGTAAAAATGCCTGTCTTCAACGTCAAATTAAAGAAGATATAATTTTATCCGAGAAAGTGAAAGGTAATCTTAATAATAATAATAATAAAACTGATTCATAATTGATGATATTTTTGCGTTTTTAAAACTTTTGTCCTAGGATAAATCATAGAAAGTGAGAAGTCGTGACCAGTAGGGTGCAGCAGTTCGGGTGTGAGGACAAATACTCACCGAAGACATTGGCTAGCGGTCGCGCTATGTCGTGAATTGGTAGAAGTTGGAATTCATGGACTGACCATTGGATCGGGTCTCAGTGGCTTAATGGTCTACGAGCTCGCTCGCCTTGTAACCAGAAGGTCCTGGGTTCGAACCGGCTGTGGTGGTTGCGTACTGATGAAGAGTCCCAAACTAGGCTGACGAAACAGCTATCTGTACAGTACTCCCAGCTAGTTTTCAAATGGTTCTCTAACTGATGAAATCCTGTAACCAATCAAACGAAAATCCCTAAAAAACAATACTTGAATATCAAAGACGGAAAGATCAGTAATGCTGTAATAACACAATTTTCTTTTATGATCAAATACGCAGGTAAATGGATCTGATGTGTTAGGTGGTCGGAGGCGCTCTTCATTCAGCAAGGTGGATCTACGAATATGAAGAAACCTATATCTTCCCAGGTTTGAATAGCTCAGGGGTAGCATTGGGTTGAGGGGTTGTTCACTTCCTTCATAGTTGCTGTGTGACAATAAATACGGAGTCTATGTACAAGGGTTCTTACCACTAGCCCTCAACCAACTTACATTCATTCGACGTAAACCACGGTAACTAGTCATCATGTATCTTGGTAACCAATAGCGTAAAATTGACTGTTTTTAGATTCCCGTTAGCATTAAGGACTAGGCAGATGATACTGATTATGCCCCACTGACCAATCACCGTATACATGTTCCTATATACACGCTTTATTAGTCACAGAGACCATGAGAAAAGTAATATAGAATTAATATTTTAACAGAAGGCATTCAGATGATAAATATTCGAAGAAAAAGAAGGATATGATCTAGTGGTTCCTCCGAAATTGCGTTGCAATTACTCTGATTAACAATAATAAAATGCTTGACGATTAATTAATTTATAGTGAGACTATCTTAGAGATAAGCTTACATTACAAAATGCTATTATTATTATTATTAGTGTACTAGGTAATAAATGAATGGAGAATCGAAATCGGAGTCCCTGAAGGATTCGAATCAGTAACCTTTGAATTGGCATCATTTCAACATTTTGACACATTGTCGACACTTTCATACTGGAAGCTGACCAGTTGCCAGTCTATAAAAAAATTAATTAACAGCAAGTACAAATAACTAATGAACCAACCCAGTAGGAACCGATTATGCAACAAATAAGCAGGAAGAAATGGAAGTGGATTGACCATACTGTGAGGAAACCACCAAGTGACATCACTAGACATGTCATTGCTCGAGAAGAACCCAAAAGGGAAGCGGCGAGTTGGTCGTCTGCAAGGGTGACTTGGAAGAGGTCATGTGAAGAGGAGATGAAAGCATGTGGACAGACCTGGAGCCAGGTGAAGACTCTAGCAGAGAACCGAACGCAATGGAGACGTGCTGCTGAAGCCCAATGTTCCTCTAGGAATTAAAGGAAATAATAATAATAATAACAAATAACTAAAACAAGCTGTGTATAGTGGCGAAAACCAACAAGTTGTCTGAAACATAGTGAAGACAGGAATTCAAGTGAATGTAGAGAAGGTGGAGGTGATGAAGATGACCAAACCAACCAACAACAATCACCAATCATTATCAAAAGGAGAAATTTGAAGAAAGTAGCTTTTATCAGGTATCTAGGTAGTATCGTCTCGACTACAGGCGGTGCGGATGAGGATGTCAAAGCCAGTTGGAATCGAAAAGGCAAGACAAGCATTCATCATTCTGAAATCAGTTTAGAAATCTTCTGCACTCCTCCTCAGCATAAAGAACAAATTCCGGATTTTCAATGCAAATATAAAGTCAGTCAGAATTTAATTGGTGGATGATTACTAGCTGTGGAATCTGGGATGCGCATTTCGTTCTATTTGGGACTCATCAGCTGGATGTACCTGCATTCCCCAGTGACTGATGTTCTCACTGAGGCTCGAACCCAGTACCTGTAGTTTCCAACACCAAAGCGTTATCCACTAGACCACTTGGGCCACGAGAACCACCTCTTGTGCAACGGGTCATATTAATTAACATCATCACTCACTGGGGAATGCAGGTACATCCAGTTGACGAGTCCCAAACATGACGAAACGCGCATCCTGGATTCCACTGCTAGTCATCATCCACCAATTAACTTCTAATTACATGCCTAGACATTGTCGAAGCATCTGCACAAGAAGCCGACATGTCAACCTGAGCCCGAGCACTTCGGAAAATCTAGAATTTAATTGAATAATAAAGTCAGTCAGTTGTTCTACATGGATCAGAAACTTTGGCGCGCGCGAATCTAACAGATTTCAGACTTTTATCAGCTGCTGACTGACTTTGTTGACTTCATACTGTAGATCAGATGGCGGGTGGGAAAGAATCAACAACAAGAAACTCAAGGAACGAACCAACCAAAGACCTATTACTCAACAAATATTCCGAAGAAAGTGGAGATTGATCGCACAGATGCTGAGGTGACCGCTGGGTGATACCGCGTTCCAGGCCTTTGAGTGGAACCCGAGTGGGAGACGATAAGTTTGGTATTAGCCGGAGGGTGACATAGAGGAGATCATGCGAAGGGGAGATGAGAGCCTATGAGTGATCGTGGAGCCAGCTGAAGAGGATTGCTAAGAAGGGCGTAAAATAGGGTTATGTTGTTGAAGTCCCGTATTCAACTCGGAACCCAAGGGAAGAATAATTATTAAAATTTTCTATAGTCAGTTCGTAAGGATTAGTTTTATTTTGACGAATTGATCACGGATTGATATTAGTTAGAGAACCATTGAAAACCAGCACTGCAGTACAGGACAGCTGTTTCATCGTAGTTTGGGAATTATCGGGAGTACGCACCCACCGCCAGGGTTCGAGTCCAGGACCTTCCCGGTCACAAGGCAAGCGAGCTCGTAGACCATTCAGCCACTGGGACCAGACTCTTCAATCGACAGCCCACGAATTCTAACTTCTACCAATTCGTGATTTTAGCACGACCACCAACCAATGTCATCGGTGGGAAATCTATCCCTACTTCCGACTGAATGCACCTCACTGGTCACGAATTCTCACTAGAACTCCAGGAAACTCCGTCCTGTAGCAAGTCACTAGTGAGCATCAGATTAATTTTCTTTAGTTGGTTTGTAAGGATTAATTTTTTTTGCTTTTACGAGTTGATCACGGATTGATAGCAGTGTAAAAAAATATTGAGTATACAGAGAAATATATACGTTAACATTACATGACGTTTTGCGTTTCCTTTTTGTAATGTTCCTAAATTCCGACATTTATTTATCAGAATTTATGACGGTAATATCGTGTTTTGTGAAGTTTTTCAATAATTCATTGGTGTGTTATAAAGTTATTCTTCCATTCTTCTTGATCATGTATTAATGGCTTTCAACACTATCCATGAGGTGATATCTCAGGAATCCAATATCTGTTATTTGACGTGTAAACTACATGTAAGTTATGCATACGTTTGTATCAACATATTGTCAAGTAACTGCTGCTTCGTTTAGCTCTATTTTTCATAGATATTTAGTAGATAGAACAGAATGCACTGTTTCACTCTATGTTTCATCTGGAGATATGGCCAGTCGGTTTAATTACTCTGAACTTCCCGTCAGTGGGTCCTTGGTTGAAGTTCGTCTTGAACAACTTCAACTTGTACTGTAATGGGAGAAGATAAGGGACTTGGTAACGGAGCTGTATTCAGGAAAAACACATCATATTTATACATTCTTAGTCACATTAAAGTTCGTCTAGGTCAGAGGAGAATAAATTGTTCTGATTGGCTGGCAATTGGCCCAAAGTTAAACGAGTTGTCCATTAGGGTTATTTCGTGTCCACAACGTAAACTAAATTCAGATTTGAGGAATAAACACTACTACCTGTACAGCCATCCATTGACTTAACATGTTGATTTCAGTTTTGATAGCTTCCTGTCAATCTACATCACACTACACTGCTAACTGGTAGTAACGTTAGCCCTATCACACAATAATTGTGTAGCCCGTGACCTGATAAATGAAAAATCTACTGTGTGTATGTGTAATTGAGTTCACACACTTGGCAAGTAGCACCACATCTCATTTGTTCGTCTAGTAATCTTCACTGATACTTCCATCTCCAGATTCGTATAAATATAATTCATTTTGATTGGTTGGAGGATTTCCTCATGAGCTGACATCAGTTAGAGAACCATTGGAAAACTAGCTGGGAGTACTGAACAGCTTTTTCATCCTAGCTCATTTGGGACTCTTCATCAGTACGCTTCACTGTGTTAATAACTGTAAAATGCGATGAATTTGGATTTCTTCAAGAACCATTATCAGCTATATATCACTGAAAACCAAGGTGTAATGGAAAGTCCAGCCATGTCAAGATCAATTAGATGCTCACTCGTTGAAGGTGTTGGTTTTAGGAATCCGTATATCACAGGTCATTGAATTCCGGTCCAAATCACCGAATGGTCAACGAGGTCGGTTTCGTATCCTGAAGGTCTCGGGTTCTGTGCCACGTGTAATCATCAGTGTGCACTGATGAAGAGCCCCAGACTAAGATGAGACAGCTATCCAGTACTCTCTATTTTCAAGAATCTCTAACTGGCGTTGATTCGCAATAAGATCTACGCTGAAGTTATTTCAAATCCCTATAATTTAAATTATTCTTGTTCTGAAAATACCATGAAGATATTTCATTACCTCATTTCGTCCTAGTTGGGGACTCTTCAGCATTGCGCACCCACCACATGGGTTCGAATCCAGGACCTTCTGATTACAAGGCGAGCTAGCTCGTAGACCATTAAGCCACTGGGACCCGATCCAATGGCTCATGAATTCTAACATCTGCTGTCCAGTACTCCCAGGTTATCCAATAGTTCTCTAACTGATGTCAGCTCATGATGAAATCCTCCAACCAATCAAACAAACAAAAAATCCCTACAAAACCAATACTTGACAATTAATTACCTTATTTGTTAATATTTCTTTTGTCAGCTGAAGCTGAAAAGCACTTTCACAAATTGAAATCAATCAAAAGTCTACAGCTGCCTGATCATTCCAGAAGTAATTGTGTATCAAATCTCTCTGAAAATACAAGCATTTCAAGTAAATCGTCTATCAACTCGCCAGTTGGTAACACTGTCACAGATAAATCTGATCAGTTTTCAACATACAGCACTACTCTTGTAGATAAATTGCATCCAACTCCCAATGAATCATTGATGTGTACTGAGAATACTAATTCGCATAATTCAATAGATTGTAGGAATAAGTAAGTTGAGTAAAAAGTTCGTCTATGCAATTAACAGATATGTGGGTATCCTTTTTATTATTATTATTATCATTCCCTTAGGTTCAGAGTGGAACATAGTGAGACGGTATCTCTATATAGCCAAATTATGTACACCTTATCTTCAAATTACCATTTGTTCACAGATCTTCCATGTTGTGCCTGCTACTTCTGGTCTTCCTTCATATTGTGTGTCTTTGTGTTCCTTTCACGTCTCCCATGTATCTATCTCCGCAGCGCTGTTGTATTGTAACAACAGAAGACAAGGGCCAGGCAACAGATTGTTTATTTAGGAAATCAACACATATTTATATATTTTCATGTACATTATTATAGATTATTGTAAGCAAACAAACACTGTTTTCTGATTGGTGGTTTCTAGCCGAACGTTAATCTTTCATCTTTTTGTGGCCGTTTCTTGAAGTTCAGATTATCTATCTGCAAATAGTATCCGCCTGCGCAAAGTCTCCTGTGGTTGGTTGTTGAGTCAGCCTTTGTTCTTATTTTTCTCACGACTGATATTGGGGACGTACGCATTGATGTAAATAACTATCTACCGATTTTGGCTAGCAGCCAGCCCTCACCACAGCATCATTTGCTTTCTCTGACTGACATCAAATCTATCTCTCCCTGCTATTGGATGTTTTTATGCCAATGAGCATCTCTTTATATACTACTGATTAGTCTTATCAGTAGCACTCGCCACAATAGGGCTTCAGCAGCACACCTCTTTAGCTGGCTCCCCAATCACCCGTAAGCTTTCGTTCTCTCCTCGCAATATCTCATGCATGTTACCCTCCAACTGATGCTCAATTTGGCTTTCACTCAAGAGCCTGGTGTATAATGTTACCGAACAGTCTCTTTAGAATGTGTCTAATCCGTTTCCATTTTATTTTTCGGCATATTTTTGGGGCGATAAGTTCCTGGTTGGTTTGTTCCCAGAGTTGCTTATTACCCTATCCTTTCTCACCATTCTGGACTTCGCGGATAATTTATGTTTAATTGTTTTAACTGATGTGCTTGCTGTCATTACTCCATTACCTTTCCTTGTATATATATTTATTTTATTTTATTTTGATTTACAGCTTGATTCCACACCGTATTTTCAGTACAAGTGCGGAATTTTCAGCATGGATATCGGTAGCCCAAATTCAGGCCGACCATAGATATCGGGTTTGCGCCGGCAGGGGATCGAATCCCGGACCATGTGCATGGTCGGCGAGAGTCCTAACCACTGTGCCACCGGCGCACATATATCCTGTATCAATGAAAAATTGTAAACATGCTTACTCCATGTACACATTATTTATCATATTGATGCCTGTTAACTGGAGTCCCTCATGTGATAAAGTGAGAATATATTATTATCAGATGCATTTCATTATTATATGAGGGAAATGACTTCAAGCTTTATTTTTTTCCCAAGTATTTCTAATCCATCCAACACATACTTGGGTTTCTTTTTGTTAATTCGAAGTCAATATCTCTATATCTCGTGATGTGGTCCATTGAATTACTAGGTATCAGATTGTTCCCACAAACTAAAGACAAAAAGACAGAACCATGTAATTTAACCATAAATTAAATTTACGTAATTTAAATAATACTTATCCATGCCTGTACAACTGGTGTGTCCTACATACGTAGGAATAAATATATACTTTATTATATTATCATTACTAAATATGCTTACTAATCGTATATATAATTTATCATATTGATGATGCCTGTAAACTGGCGTCCCTCATACACAAAAATGAGAATATATTATTATTATTACTGTGGAGCGAAGAAAGCTGTTGATGAAAGTATGCAGTGACCTCTTCAAAATGCATTTCATGACGCACACCAAGTCTTTGAAACACATAGAAACACTGACTTGCCATTCGTGGTGAAATTTCTAATCTTTTTCCGTATACTGAGTACAGCAAATTGCCCCCCCCCCCCCACTAATTTCAGAGTAAAGAAGCGTGTCTTGCTTTTCTGATATTGGTTAGCTTTAACATCCTGATTTGTGCCACGTGTAGTTGAAACGATGCTGCTAAGATAATCGAGAGACGAACAGATTTCTGCTGTCGATAGTGACTGATGCTTGTTATAGCTGACTAGGTATTTTCATCAACCATTTCTTCTTTATACTCACTCGAAGTTCATTATTCTGTCTTTCCTCTGGCAACCTAGTGGTTTTCGCCTGCAGGTCTTTGAGTTTGTGTCGTTACATTAAACATAGATCATCTGCGAAGTCCAGATCTTCTGAAGTCTTTCCATCGGTCCAACACATGCCCATTCTCTTCCTTCCAAACGTTTTCGACTGATGGCGTGACGCCTATGGATCCGTTTTCAGTGCTCCTAGAGGAATCTCGTATGGACCTGCTGGCTTACACTAACTTTATGGCACTCAAGAATTCTGCTTTTGTCGGGGACTGGTGTCCACACTTACTTCTGTGGCCGTTACCGGTATTTCTGGACGACTTGCAGGTGGTGGTCGGTTCAAGAGTTCTCTGAATTGATCAGCCCATTGTTTCCTTTGCTCCTCCTCTTTGGTAATGAGTTTCTCTTCACTATTCTTCATTGGTTTCATATAACGGTAGAAGTGAACGGTCATTATAAACTTTTTTCATATTTGAGCAGTTTTTGCCATCAGCAGGTGTATTGTCAAAACACCAACCATCTGAGCTACAAATCTTCATTTTGCGAGAGAAGTGTGTTTCCCGCTGGCAAAGGTAGACTGTCATTAGTGCTAAAATACTGTGGTGTATGCTACTGATAAGATTTATCAGTAGTATGTAAAGAGATATTCATTGGTATAAAAATATCAAATAGCAGGGAGATAGAATTGATATCAGTCAGAGAAATCAAATGATACAACAGCGTTGCGGAGATACATACATGGGAGACGTGAAAGGAACACAAAGAAACACAATATGAAGGAAGGCCAGAGGTAGCAGGCACAACATGGGAGATCTGTGCACAAATGGTGCGTTGAAGATAAGGTGTACATAAATTGGCTTTATAGAGATACCAAAATACCCTCCTTTACGAAGTTTTTCATCTTCTACTATTACAATATGATTATCTACCAATTCGACTGGAGACGGAATTTATTGGTTCAGAGATCGAATTTAAGCTTCATCAACTTCAGTCCAACTGACGACTGTGTAGTATCATTTGCTCTCAAATACAAAGTACTGTTCATATATTGGTGCTTCAGTATTTGTCCTATTAACCAAAGTATTCTGACCGAAACTGTGACCTAGTAGACTATCAGCGAATACTAACTTAATGCGCTAGCTAATCTGGCCTAATCGCAATTCAACAAAAACAATGACGCCGCCCACACGCAAAGACAGAAGAGAAGACTTGACGTTAGTAAGAGAACTTTTACTCTCTCAAACAACAGTCAAAAGAAGCTTTACAGCGCCTGTATATATATATATATATTTAAAATGACCCTGAGAAGCACTGATGTCATTAATGAATTAAGACAGTGAACAACCAATAGGATTCGAAAGATCATAAGTAGAGTGAAAGGTCGTAAATCAGTAAGTGGAGTGAGAGAAGTACAAATAGACATATAGATAATTAGGTGTGTATATATCACAAAGTTCTCAAGATTCCTAACCAATGAATATGTTTTTCATGCGTATTATAACTTATGGAATCCGTAAGATGATAGAATCATAATAGACTGAAATATTTTTAGCTGATTAAAAATGCCCATTAAAATTTACAAGAAAATGGATACTGAAGAAAGAATACTCTTTTCGATAACTCCTTCATCATCAGGTTCTACAGTTACATATACATTATAGTGAATGAATGAATTAGTGTTACGAACAACATTAATGTTGCTGTTTAAATAACATCGAATCGATAATATTGATAGATTACAGCTCAATAGCGTCATCATAACAATAAGCTGAATGTGAGAAAAATTAGGAAAGATAATAATACAAATTCATGAATTTATAGTCCCTTTTGAAAGTCAGGGCAGTAGTAGGGACTGGACTTGTTTCTTCTACACACAGAGCACTGGTTGTTTGAGGCGAATCGCAATAGCCTCTGCCGTTTGAAGCATGTGTTGCTTCGATGTTTTTGGAAATTTATTAGGCAGCCAGTAGATGATAGAGAAGGATTCTTCAATGCTGACTGGCTTTGTGACCGATTTGTACCAGATGGTCCAATATCGAACTGTTAATGGTTTTCACTACACCTTTACATAGCCATAGTGGGAAATGTTCTCAAGCACGAAAAATCAAGTTCCTAAAGCAACGGCCGATATAACTCGCTCCACAAGCACAGTTGAATTGGTAGATAGGAATTTGAAGTGACTAGTCTGTGTACTTCATCTTTCAGTCGAGGAATCACCATCGGTCGTGTAGAGAATAAGACGTGAAGTTCGCCAGAATTAAAAGTTCCTTGAACTGACTTCCTTAATTTCTTCGTAATTATTTCACTTGATATATCACCCTTGAATTGCAGTCATATATTAAAGAGGCTTCTTGTTTACGAATTGTGAGTAGTCCTTTTCCGCTTTCTTTGCCATGTGTTTCTTGATAAATTTGTCGGGATAGCTGTTTTTGATCAAAGTATCATATACGATGCTTAATTCATCTTCAATTACTTCTTCTGAGCATAAAGCTCTAACTCTGTGGCTGAGGGTTTTCACTAAATTTCTTTTGTACTTGAGAGGAACGAAGCTGTTTTCAGCTAGCTAAACAATTTTGCAGGAATTGTTCGCATACAAAACTGAGCCACTCTCTCGCCCGCGCACACGCTTTCTTTTAATTAACAAGATTAGTTGTCGTTTTATCTTATGCAAAATACGGCTGACAACTTCAACTTAATATGACGAAGTCGGCGGAGTTATCTGCAGCTGGCCAGATTCTCAGTTTATAAATTACGGAAATTATTCAGACCAAAATGTTTGGCCTACTTGCTAACCTATAAATAGCATGAAAGTATATACTACTGACGGATTCATATGAGTAGCTGGGTACCACCACTCACATCAACCAGTGGTGCTTATTAGCCAGACTTAACTAATATAATTCATGAATCGCTGATTTGATTCTACGCATACTACCAGTTCGCCCAAGTAGCCAGCCAGAAATTGAATAATTTCAACTCATTCAGCTATTTGAGCTGAGTAAAAATCGGGCACACCGCTGATATGAGCTCAGATCACTTCGATCTGGCTAGTGAACACTACTCGTTGACCTGTGTGGTATCCAATTAGCCATATCAATCAATCAGTCATCTGTACCATCATCTATGGACACTAGTATGCTTACTTCGAAACCTGAAGATTTCAGGTTTGTTTCGTTTCTAGTGTGGGTTATTACTGTGTACTGGAATAGGATGATTGGTTTTTTCTTACTGGACACTAGTCAGTAACTAGTGTAATGTGTCTAGTACTATCTTTGATGCAGACAAATTCTATCACTCAGGTTTGCAATGTGGCCACCATTCTGAGTGGTTCACTACTACGGTTCACCTTGATTTTTGTTATACAAATAGTTGGAGGCCTTGGACTTAGGTTTCATGCTAGTTGGCACTCACCAGTTAGCCTGGCGTATATGCAATCACCTTGAATGAACTCACGTCTCTTCTGAGCCAGCTGGTGGCATGGTGGCAACATTACAGACTTGACTGATCGAATTCAGCCTACAACAAAGATAGGAATAGACACATTACACTAGTTACTGACTGGTGTCCAGTCAAAAATATCCAATATAGTCGTTCAGGAGATCAGTCAGAATAGCTGCTCAGTGGTGGTAACGTCTCCGACTGCAGGCGGCACCGGGTGACACGGGTTCCAATCTCACAAGGGACATGAATTCCTTCCTACCTTGCTAACTGGTGGAGAGTGTCAACTAGCACGAAACCTAGGTCCCAACAAGGCTTCCTGTGGCCGATTGCCTCCAACCATCTAATTACCACAATGATTGGTTTTCTAGATGATATCATCATTTGGTGAAGCGACTCATCAAACCCTCACTTTACTCTTTTTTTTCTCTTACAGAAATATAAAACAACAACTTGAATCGACTGATGATTACGATGAAGTACTGTTGTCTATGTGGCGTCGTCTATTCACTCAGCTGAATAGGAAATTACCTAATCTTTGTCTTTGTATGCAATACTGTAATAATAATGCTGGTGTATACAGTGGTCGAATACCACCGTGGTTGGAATGTGCTAGTAATTGTCGATTTTACCAAAAACCTGAAGGTATGCGCGCATGAACAGTTAGTAATCTTAAGTTCTATGTTTAGAGAGAATATGAGTAATAGTAGTGTGAGAAATGCGATAACTTTATTCTGTATTATTTACATTTCATTTCACATCGAAATACGCCTTAGTATAGTATCTGAATGCTGACATGGGGGGTTGCTGAGTTTTGTGAAATGGTAGAGAGAATTCATTTTGCTCGAAAATTCCTTTGTTTGTAGACATCAAGGACCACTAGATGATACATGCACCTACTGATCCGCCTGGTTGATATACGACAAAATTATCTAACATGTACCTCAAGGGTTCAATGACAGAATTCTCGCCGACTATGTAAGAAGTCTGGGTATGATTCCTTGCCGACGTATTCCTAAACATCGCCTAGTTAGTTACTTAGCAGCTTTTAGTAAACCCGGTAAATTGGTAGAAGTTAGAATTCATGGGCCACTGAATCGGGTCCCAGCGGCTGAATGGTATATGAGTTAGCTTGCCTTGTAACCGGAAGGTCCTGGGTTCGAACCCCAGTGGGTGCGTACTGCCAGTGATCCCCAAACTAGGATGAAACAACTGTCCAGTACTCCCTTGGAGTTTTCAATGGTTCTCCAACTGATATCAATCCGTGGTCAAACTGGAAAAATAAATCTAATCCTTACAAACCACCTCTTGAAAACCCAGTAAAAAAGGAAGATTGATAGTGTGGGTATAAAAACCCCACCTTGTTAAAGACCAAAACCACGGCCTTTGAAACTCCAGGCCTTATGTTGCTACTCGGAATGGAAATAATGAGAGAAAATTATCTAACGATTTCGTGTTGATGCGACAAACTTATTTTTTTACTATACAACTGAGTAATTTTCAAACTTATCTAGGAAATATGGTATATATGTTGCCTGTCGACTTTGAATAAAACAGACGACTGTACAGTGACCATCTTATACCAACTTATACTTCTCCATAATAAATCATCTAATGAAAACGTTTTTAAATCTATTCATAGGAAATGAAACTGTAAGACTTTTGGTAATCTATGTTGCTGTGAGACAGAATATGTTGGCTGTCTGTTCACCTACTTACCTATTGTCATAGAAAAAGAGTTAACATCACATACAAATATCTTGCACCTTTGTTGGGATATGCACTCAATGGATTAATGCAAAAAGCAGCTTTTTATCTAGTCTCCTGATAAGTTTGCTATATTGGTTGATAATAGTTATTTAGTGTAGCTAATTACAGCGGGATCAACTTGACCAATATGTAGTATCTAAAGTTCTAGGCTCAATAATCATGCGTAGACGAAGTGGTGCTCTGCAGAAACAAACACGAGAGGACCAGGCAGGCTTTAGACAAAGAAGAGAGTGCGTTGATCATACCTTCACCCTTCGACAGATTCCGGAACATAGGCATACTTACTGGCGTCCAACAATCGTCATATTTCCTGACCTAGAGCTGTACAAATGAACTTAATTCTAACTGACTTCAGAGACTTGTTACCACCAGGCAATAATCTCGTTGACTTAGAATATGCAGATGATATGGTTCTTCTAGGTGGAGACGCGGACAAAATGCAGAGTCTCCTGAGCACCTTGAGCATAAATCTTCGGTATGCGATTCGCTCGCGCTGTATGTAAGATGTTGCATCCTATAGGACTGGACTACATTGACTCATTCCTAGCTTAGAAATAGGGAGTGAAGTGGTAAGAGCGTGTTGACCACTTCACTTATTTAGGAAGTTGCATCAGCCAACACCAATGGGTTGATCTCTGATGAAATCTCTGCACGGATACACAAGGCTAGTTTCGCATATGCCCGTTTACGTCGTCTCTGGCTTAGTAGACGTGATATCCGACTGTTGATCAAAGGGTGTGTACTGCTCAGCAGCCCGCTAGTTAAGCCACTAGACTCGACTTCTAACCAAGTTGTGGTTTCACTGAGATCATCATCCTCTCCTTTCAATTCAGGAGAAGACCTACTCCAGCAGTCAGTATAACGTGTCATTCATTCACATGACAAGTGGACATTACCTATGGTGATTGTGGTGAGATGATAACCTGATTAGGAGATGGGTTTCGCCGCTCACGTAGTAGAGCACCAGGGCTGTTAATTCCAGGGTCATTGGTTTGAAACCCATGGCAACCCAAATTTTTATTACAATTCCAATCATCACTCGACACATTAATAACAGTCTGTCAACCCAATGCTACATCATTTAGTCTCACTATCAATTACTAATTTAATTAAGAAGTATGGAAATAAAGTAACTGCTTTTTGTAAATCCATTAATCAATAGAATGAATTAACCTTCATTTGACTTTCTTTTTACTGTGTTCTCAGCTTTCTTGAAGTCTTTAACTGACTACATACAATCACAAAATTGGTCGTAATCTCAGACAGACCAAAGCAACCAACCATATGATGAAAAAACCACCCAATATTTTATACCGACCTTTAAATATTTTTAAATAAATAAAACATTTTGATCGATTGCACATGTTTCAGTTTTCTCATATGTACCAAATCACGATGTCAGTCATTTCCGTGGGAGATGTATGGCTCAAAAAGAGGGGTCGGAAGGGGGAGGGAACCCCGCATATATTTGACAGTCTTAATGGTAACTTCGATATGAAGCGAATCAGCCTCTCCACAATTCTTTGTCAAAGTTAAGAGATAAAATTGCACAAAGAGACAATCTATGTAGAGCATCACGAAGCTAATTTATCATCAGCACTTACCCAGTAAGTAATGATGTGATAAAGATTGGCAATCCTATCATACTTTATATAATCGGTATCACTAAACACAAAGCAATTTGAATAGAGCAAGAACAACAGATTTTGCAGAATAAAATAGTACCATCATTGTTTATTTTGCTGGCTTCCCATCAGCTGCTTGCTTACAGCCCAAAGTCATTATTAAGTATATCTACAGAACCAATTTTAACATACTTGCACAGAGTTCATTTTTAGACAAAAATCAATCAGTCAGTATATGCATACAATGCCAATAATAACAAACACTTTATCCCTAACAATAATGATCATATACAATGGAAAAAAGTTCAATTCTCCTTAAGTTTGCCGAAGCAATCTCCATCAAGAGCCTGGAACCCGATTTATGTGCTGAGAAAGAAGAGTTGATGAGTCTTCCTTTGCCCTGCCTGGTAACTGGATATCTTCATCCTCTCTTTCATCTGATTACGTAATGCCGGAAGTTTTCATTGTGTATGATCATTACTGTTTGGAATAGTGTTTACTATTATTATATATATAATTACTGTATGTATATACTGATTGATTGTTTTTTGTCTAAAAATGAACTCTGTGTGGGTAAGTTTGTGAAAATTGTTTCTGTAGATATACTTAATAATGACTTTGGCCTGTAAGCAAGCAGCTGAGCTGATGAGAAGCGAACGAAACAAGCAACGATGGTCCCATTTTATTCTGCAAAAACTTGTTCTAGCTTTATTCAAATTCATTAAGGGGAATAAATGAACAAAGCAATTTGTTAAACAACTTATAGGGTATATATTGAAAACAGAGTACGATTGACAACCCAGAACACACAACTGATTAGTCCTAGTGCCGAATTCTCAAGAAATGTCTATTAAGAATAGTACATCGGTTGTTCACAAGATTTTCAAGACTTCCATAAATATACGAACTAATACTAATGAAAGGTTAATCAAAATTATCAAGTGGGTCGAACATTTGGTCTGGAAATTAGCCAATCAAAATTTACTTCGTATGATAAGCTATGACTGCGTCGGTGGCACACCAGTAGAATGTTCGCCGACCACGCCTCAAGTGGTCCGAGGTTCGATCCCGGGCCAACGCACTCCTTTACCTCGCAAAGCCAGTATTAAGACTGGTAAGGAGGGGAGGTTGATCATGAGGCTAGCAACCCCATCCCGTAAAAATAAACCCCACTGTTACCGAAACTTCAAGCCTCTAGCATGAAGCCCTACGTAACACTGGGAACGTAAAGGAATGAGGAAAAAATAGATCTTGTTACATAGGCTGTACAGTTAGGCGTGTTTCGCGTCGAATTTCCGAACATCACCCTGTTTGGTTAAGCAAAGGACAAACAAAATCTATTCGCAGCGCTATGCTGGCTCATCTCGTGGAGACAGAACACAAGATTGACGTTAATCATGCTTTCAGGGTCATTCACCGCATACCTACGAATCTCAATTTCGCTTTAAGAGTTCGACTTCTAAATATAGCTGAGGTTACGGGGATCCATATTAATAAGCCTAATTTATGCACCCAAAAGAAGTTAGTTCAGTCATTATAATTACCTTGGCCATCCAGGTTTGAATCATCCTCAATTTTTGTGAAATTTCCCTAATTTTAGTTGATATTCTATTCGCTATTATATCTTTATTGTTATTATTATAATTTGAGCATCTATAATGAACTATAATAACATTGATCATACTTTACAAATCGATAATATTAAAAAAACGCAAATAGCTCTTGTGTTAGAATACACTTTCTCCTACTCATTTCAGTGTGTTTGTGTGTGTTCTTCATTAAATCATCTGGTTGGCTGCACTAACTAGGAGCCGAAGAACGCCGATACATAATCCCGTGGATAAATACAGCTACTGATCCCTTTTTTTCCCTGTCAAGTTATCAAAACAATAGATTAAGAACGATAAAAAAGATAAGTATTTTATTAGATCAACGACAAGAAAGTACCATGACCTTAAAAATTATTATTTTTTACACAAGATCTGAAACATTCATTGGCATTTCATCGATTTGTGTCGAATAATACTGTTCAATATCTCGTAGAATTTTGATGTCATCCGTTTTCACAAAGTTAATTGCAACACCTTTACGTCCGAAACGACCAGATCGACCAATACGATGAATATACAATTCACGATTATTCGGTAAATCGTAATTAATGACCAAAGATACTTGTTGTACATCAATACCTCTTGCCCATAGATCTGTTGTTATGAGAACGCGACTGAAATGAAGAAAAATTGTAATACAAGTAACAAGTCGACAAATGACTGCAATTCAGTGACAAATATTTATTTGAAAGAATTTATATGAGCCAACAAGAGATCAAAACTGTAGACAGTTATTACGTGTCTCACTTTGCTACTTGATTGTGAAATGCACAATGATTTACACGTGCTGGTTTTCAGGGACTTGTTTGGGACAGTGACCGCTAGACAGCATTTTCGCGTCCTACGCCGGGACTCTTCCATGGTACCTAGCAGGGGTCGAACTTAGGACTTTCAGCCAAAGGGTGGAATCTAGTGACCAGTTAATTTCAGCTTCTTTCAATAAGTGCGATTTAGGGTCACACCACCAATCAATATCATCGGCGGGTACCTGTCGTCACATCTGACTTCTCACTAGAATTCAAGCAGATTATTTCCTGAAATCAGTTGGTTTTGTATGGGATTTTAGCAACTTCCAGGTAGATTTCGTCACAAGTTGATGGTAAAGATGGTCCACTCTAACTGATAACTACTTCTTGATGAAAGAATTTAAACTGGCAATAAAAAGACTACTCGCACCTACTGATAAGTACTAATACTAAATAATTCAAGAAGAGCACGAATACAGAATACCACGCTCATGACAATGTTCATTACTGATAACACTTCGTTTGATAAAAAATTATTTGTTTCTCAAAAAGACCTAAAATAAACTATCGAGTTATAATGATTCATGAATATGGGTGTAAGATACATCAGACAAGGCAGCAGCGATCAAGAAAATCACATTTCCTGAATTGACAAGTTCTCAATTATATATATATATATATATATATATATATATAATACTAGAACGAGACATATAAGCGAACAATTTTGTTTACAATTACATTCTCACGCTTTGCTCTAATTTACATAGATTTATATATAAAAGGCGGGTTCGAATTCCATTCGAAAGGCTCGATGGAATGCGATAGATAACTTTGAAGGCACTTCTTTTATCCACTTGGTGACCGCTATCATCAACCGATTGAGACAAAATAGAACTTCTTATAGATTTTACGTGGTCTTTTCTGAACGATGAAGGAAGATACTGATTAATAACGTTTGTTGAGCTGTCTAGTTGTTCGCCCTATATTAGCTTTCTCCACAGGAGCAACTAAATTCGTGAATACACATAGAAGTGGCACAGCTAGACAGCTTATCTTTCGCTTGACCAATCATAACTGGTCGGCTGGATAATGAGAATTAAAGGGTGGCGGCAGTATAGGTCCGTTTTATTGCTCTCGATAATCTTAGACGTAAGACTTCACTAGCCAAGTCCCATTAGATTGCAATTTCATGAACAGTTGTTTCTTTTTAACTGTTGTCGATTTCTCTTTATTTCACCTGCTCTTTATGTTTCTCCTGACAAATCCACTAGGATAACCCATTTGGACCAGCGTATTTTGGATATATCCTAATTCATTTTCTAAGGAGTCATCCGTACAAATCCTTCTTGCTCTATTCGTGAGGCATCTAACCAAATTGATTTTGTATCGGATTGATACAAAACTGAAGAAATGTGTACATTGTCCTACAGACGTAGGTTTTCTATGGACATCTCTCTTGAGTGAACCATCCTCTCTTCTGCTCGACTGGACATCAAGGAAGTGTAATCTACCATCATGTTCATCTTCACTTGTGAAGATGAACGATGGATGTGCACCACTAAATTTTATTAACGTTTTATTCTTGTCCGCTTTCTCATCAAGAATAATAATAAACGTATTACCAACATAACGGAAATAAGAATCCATTTTATCTATTACACGTTTCAATGGACAATTTTCAAGCTTGGCAAGAAAGAAATCTGCTAAAATTGGACCCAATAAAGAACCCATGGCAATACTGTCGAATTGTCTGTAATAAAGTTTGTTGAATGCGAAATTTACATCCATAGTGCAATTTTTTTTAAAGATTTGACCTAATTGTTTATTTGTTGAATTGTCTACACATATACAGACAAAGATATTACTACCTTTGTTATTCTTATCGCCACCTGCATAAACCTTATTATCATTTCTTTTGCTATCATTATAATCATCGTTATAAAATACGTTCAAAACATTTACAATGTTATTATTATTATTTGATCCACAAAATCACCATCATTGGTTAAGATTTTTATGTATAAATCTACGTAAATTAGAGTCAAGCCTAAAGAAGATCTAATTGAAAACAACAATATTGTTCGTTTATATGTCTTATGCTAATACATATAAAGGTATATAAGTTGAATCAGTGACCAAATAGATCATTTACATTTCCGAAATCGAATCAATATAGTGATATCTTTATACGTTTCGTAAACTTATATAGCAGAAAGGGAAATAATATTGCATTATACTTGTCTAGTGGTTAACTACTTTCTCAAATGCCCTGACGTTTGTCTTAAACAATTCTACTTACTTAATCTACATGATCACAATAAGTGTGAAAATAACATCTACGATATCAGTTATAGTACGATAGCCATGCTGCACCCAGAAACCTATCAGCAATACTTGTACAATAGCATATTTACACAGCACCTCTAACAGTTGCCAAATAGGAACTGAAAATCTGCCCAAAACATCCTACGATTTTCACAGTGAAACAATCAACAATGACAAGCTTAGCTGTAAATCACAAATGGACTCAGTTTTCCCAGGACTTCTTTCGTGTTCCAGGCTGGGAGCCACACTTATTAAGAAGGGTTGGTGATACTCACTAGATGCCCAGGTTGAAATAGGTAGGGGGGGGCTGAAAGTCGAATGCTTAGGCTAAAATAAGCCACATCCATACATTAAAACCACAAATCAGAAAAGTTGCTCGACATACCTATCACCAGCACGGAAATCTTTCATAATTTCTTCTCGTTCCTTTTGAACCATTTCACCATGCATAGACGCGACGGTGAAGTTATTCTTCAGCATTTTTTCTGTCAACCAGGCAACTTTACGTCTTGTATTACAGAAAATAACAGATTGAGTAACAGTGAGTGTATCGTATAGATCACACAATGTGTCGAATTTCCATTCTTCTCGTTCTACTGCAACAAAAAATTGTTTTATGCCTTCTAAAGTCAATTCATCACTAGAAGTGAAAAGGAAACCAAAGAAGAAGAAGCAAACTAATTAGTACTGAATGTTACTCATTGCTGGTCAAAGCAAATCAATCGTTACCATATTCAAGTTCTTAGAATGACACAATTACACTAGGTGTTTATTACAGATGAAAATACACACGTAGCTTAAAACCATGAGCCACATTTATCATTGTGTAACGGTTGGTGATACTAACCACCAGTTGCTGAGTTCGGAGTAGGTGAAGTGAAACTTCTAAAGTAACTTTCAACGTAATTTGTACTGTGCAAGTGTTTAACTTCAAAAATAACCGAACTTACTGACGTCGGCAAATTGTTTCATTCCTTTACGTTCCAAGTGGAACACAGGGCTTCTAGCTAGAGCTTTGAAGTTTTTGTAGCAGTGGTTATTTATTTTTACGGGGTGGGGTTGCCAGTCTCACGCCCAACCTCTCCCTCTTTGCCGGACTTACTACCGGCTTAGAGAGTTCTAGGAGTGCGTCGGTTGGGAATCAAACCCCGGACCACCTGAGTGACTGGCGAGCGTTCTACTGGCTGAACCACTGACTTAGGCATTTAGTTTTAACCAAGACGTCGAATAACTGTCTACGAAAAACTGTAAGGAATCAGATAGTGTAGCTCATTTCATTATGTTGCCGCCGCTTTGTCAAAACATTCATCACTACACCACTGGTGCGTCTAATTATTAAACAAGGAAATAGTTTTTAGGTAAGTGGCCTACCAGAATCACTTGTTAAAATAGCTTGGACGTTGGATAGCAGACAAACTTAGAAAAAAAATCAATGCACCTTAGTCATCTCGTGTGATTGAATGAGTTTTCAACGTTGCATAAAAGTGTGATAGACCAATCTGTCTCACACTCCATGTACCAAACAAAGGTAGAGATCAAAAATTCAGAAAAACTATAATGAAGGGCAATGTACTGAAGAAAGAATTACACGGAGGAGCCTGGGGGCTTGATTTATCTAGCAGGTTACAAGGAGTGGAAGCATCCCCGCCAATGGGAACTATTTTGAGGCACATAGCATTAACAGTCGTAAACTATTGGTTTTTAGCATTCCGAGAACCCTACTCAGGCTATCTACGCCTCCTTACATGCCTCGAACCAAAAGTCAATGACTTCAAGGATTGATGAGAGACTTTGATTTAAGTATCAACTTTTTGCCAACCTCATCCTACGGTATGCGTAGGCCATCCCGTGTATGATTTTGTGCAATTGGCAAGAAGTGCACATTTTCTTGAGGATTATTAATATGACATGGGCGATAAAATCTAGCAGATCAAGCTGTGTGGATGTTAAGTATCAACATCCACAGGCTATAGCCAAAAAAGTGTTGGAAATTAAGTAATTATTCAATTTTTAATTTTTTGTTTGTTTTAGTAACGAAATTGCTACAACTTCTCAATAAATGAAACTCACCGTTTTACTAAAATTCGAATAGGATTGGTCATGAATTTTGATGTCATTTCTAATATCTCGTGTGGCATAGTAGCTGAAAGGAGAACCACTTGTGTTCCAGGAGGTAAATATCGATAAACATCATAGATTTGTTCTTTGAAACCTTTGTCTAACATTTCATCGGCTTCATCGAGAACAAATAATTTGACTGCTCTTGTCCGTAAACTACGACGACGTATCATATCTACAAATTTAGAACATAAACAAAAATAAAAGATTATTTTTAAATTGTTTGGACTAGGAAGATTTTTCCAGCAGGAATGAAATGGAATACATCGTGGAGATTATATAGTATGTCTTTAACAGTCACAATGATCAGTAGAGTACTCCGCACACGTAAGAAAGGAAACTAATTTGAGAAACATACTAGTTTAACTGATAAAGCAAATCCTAACATGATCAGAGAGCAGCAGTTAAGAATTCATAGGTTACTTATTCTTCCTTATGTTTTTTTATGCTCTGTAAATTAGATTATTGAATAAGGGAGTAGTGGTCAGTGACAAATTATAATTTATCAAATATATATTCAGGTTACTTCGCCCACACACGTATTTTTAGAGCTGTGGTTCACTGGTCTAAGCACTTGACTACCAACAAGTGAGTCAAGGTTAATATATGTGTAAAACTTGGGCACTGTGGTAGTAAGTAATTCCATATTAGTTTGTTTATTATATGTATCACACAGTGAGTGAAACAGTATTATTTACTGGATGACTAAGTCTCGAACACAATTTACTGTTCATAATCATATCATCAATTATAATCACACGACTTCGAAGCTTCATTTTTATAGTTTTCTTTGTTTTCTGCTATTTGTCGTAGAGGTGGTAGTAGAATTTTCCAGATATCGGGGACAGATGATGAATCATTCCTATTACACGTATTCTCTTCAGTTGATTCGATAAATAAAGCTTCTGTTACCAATCTCTTCCTCCACCCTGCGACATTGGATTTTAAAACTGTCATCTTATCTCCATCCTATTGTATGGTTGTGTGTGATTGTATGTGGTGTAGTGCTATAGCTGAACCATTCTCTAGATTTCTTATCTTATTCGGGTCAACCAATCTAGATTTTTCTAGGTTTCTATGTTCCGCTAGTCTGACTTCCCCTGTTCTACTAGTTTGACCTATGTATTTGACCTGACAGTCATTGCAGGGTATTAGATAAACTAAATTGCTTTGTTTTAAAGGCTCCACAGGATTGATCCTTTAACCGACAAAGCTTGTTTCTAATTGAGTTTGTGGGTTTGAATCCCGGCCACTTTTATTCCTACTGTATTAAGAGTTCTCCTCCGTAAGGTTTCCGAGTTTCATTCTTTGTATGGAATTACCATTGATGATTTAGATTCCTTATTGTTGGTGTGGTCATTAATATTATTATTATCACTGTCATTATTATCATTATTATTGTTACTATCACTATCGCTACTATCATTATTTATTTTTACATTTCCTTACATATTTCCTGACTAATTTATCCAGGTAACAAACTAATATGGAAGTGAGTCAAGAGTTCGAATCCAGCTTGACCCACCTACCAAAGTTTGGACAGGCAGTTGGTATCATCAGCCTTCACATAACAGGTATGACTCATTTCCATCTGCACGGATATACAAGTAGTTGTTGAGTAAGATTTCTTTTTGAACACATCTATTGTTTTAATGTCTCGCTCTATCTGATTTGTCGAATGTTCTATTTCCCTAAGCCTAAGTTCTGCAACTTATTTAGCGTCTAGGAGGGATTTCCCATTTCTCCAACATTATTACAATCAAGATTTCAACGAAATACACTTGAAAAAGAAATATCTTTATTTTTTTGCATTATTTTTATTTAGAGTTAAATGTTGGAATAGATACTACTTCCCTACGAAGAATAGATTACAAGTAAGAAAGTTTGTATTTTAATGTCAATAAGTACACTCTATTAACAGTGGACTGAGCGACCTGTTGGTGGTGTACTTTCCAAACCGACAGTCATCACCTTGACGTCAGAGTCAGGATTGCATATCCTAATGACCCAAACAAGTTAAAATAGCTGGATTAAACACTCCTAGAGGTAGCTAACTACCATTCCAGAAAACCCTCTTGAACAACGGTTAGACTAAAAGCAGTTGCCTTCACAGTGTAACCAGTTAGGGGGTAAAAAAGTGTAACAATAGTATGGTGTTTTCCTAAGACGACCAGCAAGATAGCTAAACTGCCCTTCCTCTTGGGGAGGGGGAGGGTAGAGGTCAACCCCAAAAATTATACATTCCAACTTACCCTGTGGTGGTTCTCAGAAGACGGAAAGGACTTCATACGGACAACGCTAAACTGACTGCGTATGATCAGTCTCACTCAGCTGTTTATGGACTGTGCAGTCATGCAAATCTAATGCCTTCTGTTTCAGATATTTTAAGAAATCAACTTTCATGGTGTGGGCGCCGGGAAGCATTAACTACCTACATATTCCCATAAGCGTACCCAGTTTAGCTGATTACCACCTTCCAAGCAGGTGATGTATCTTCCTCAGAAATAAATACAAATACACTGAGAATGAATGCGTTTTCAAGAAGTCTACAACTGCACGTGGTTCAAATCAACAGCTCACGACGTCATAGATTAATGTTATATGTTTGGTTGGACCAACTTCGATTCTTTTCCAACATAATCCTAGTTCACTTAACGTTGCTTTTAATGGAAGGCATCATACATAATAGGTGTTTTTGTCAACTCGATTATCAAAGTTCCATAATCACATCAATCGAGCTAATCTTTTACATGAAACATTAACCATGAGAGGAGTGAAACATAAACACTTAGTCAGAATCATATAATCTTCCCATAATTTGCATATCACACTGGTTCAATGAGAAGAATTGGGAGAGCGACCATTTCTTAAAATGCCGCAAATTCAAAAAGTTCATTTAGATGGTAGCAAAACTAAAAGCAGATACCATAATAATGTAAACTACTTGCACCAAAGTTTTAAAGCTGAATCATACGGCTAAATAAAATGTAATTACAATAAGGTGTCTTCCTTGAATAATAACTAAGCTAAGATAGACCATAGTTGGAGATGAGATTTCTGATACGAACTAACATAGCTTGTTAGAAAATTGACAAATATAAATTTAACAAACACGTTAAGATAAGAATTATTAGACGATCGACTAGCCCACTTATTTGAGTTCATTAAATGAGAACGACCGGGATAAAAATATATGAACACACACTATGGTTAACTTGGACTTTGGACTTGGGCTAAAAGTGTTAGATATCAGTCTTCACACCAAACTGTTACACTTCATTTCGTTGTCTTCATTTTTACAATAGGCTGACCAGTAAGCTACATATCAAAGCCCTGTTACTAATCTCAGTTCAAATCAGTCATAACTATCCCTGTTAAGCTTCAAAATGCTGTCTAGATGTTGGAAGACTACAGTTCTAACTGCTCACTAGAACGCAAAACTGAGTGTTCACGATCAAACTGTGACTAGATGCAAAATTATGTGCAGTAGTCAAAGACAAACAACATACCGCGTAACATCAAACGTACTTACCGAATACACGACCTGGAGTCCCAGATATTACATGCTGCCCATAATCCAGCTTTCGGATATCTTCCCCAATGTTAGTCCCACCGTAACAGGCATGACATTGAACATTCATATAATCGCCTAACGCAAGAATTACTTTCTGTATTTGTGAAGCTAATTCGCGTGTTGGAGATAATATAAGAGCTTGAGTTTCTCGCAACTGTGTATCCAACATTTGTAAAATAGATATACCCAGTGTTGCTGTTTTTCCAGTTCCTGACTGAGCTCTGAGAAAAAGGTTATTTAAGAAACACTTACTGAGCTATCACGTCTCGACCTTTTACTATCTGTTTTATGGCTCTCTGTTGGATAGCTGATGGCCGTTCAAAACCTACCAAAAAGCATAAAGAATAATGGAAGTTCTTACCGTAAGCGTAAATCCCACGTAACAGATCATCTCGAAGACACATTGAGTCGAACGATGGAATCACATCGATATTTTCCGATGTTTCAAACTCTACATTCGTTAAATCATCTTCGTTATGAATTCTTTTGGAAGATCTCTCCATTAGTCAGACTGTAAAGTGCTAAAAGAGGACATGCAAATTAACTGCTAGGCAAAAATATAGCAATAAAAAAAACGAAGACATTGGGGCTAAAGTCATATATTTGTACTAAAACTAAATACTATCAATATTTCCAAGGGTCTTGACCAGGTGGAATCTTTTTGTCGCGGTATAATGCTGTTTTACCCTTCAATCGATCATTGTCAGGAAGTAGACGAGTGAGTGCATAAACCGCTGTAATTCCTCCAACGAACCCCAAGCCAAAAAGCACAGACTTTTGCATGCTACTCAACTTAGACGCACTGATCATTTTTATCCTTTAATTTCTGTGGGCCGATGTGCTACATTATCATAACAACTTACTTTGTACCTTTCGCAAGCTTGGTAGTCACTGTAGATAATATACGCTGTAAAACAAGGTGCAGATATTGAAATGAAATTTCTGCGAAGTGATCTGGCAAAACCAGAAAGGAGCATCTACGACCATAAAGAAAGAAAAATAATACAACATGACATACCTATACAATCAAACAGCAAGATGTCAAGGTCAGATGAGACTTAAAGGGTTGGCGAGGTGTATAATGTCCAATATCCTAATCACATGTATTTGATAGACTAATTGCGTCTTTCAGCATTTTACTGGTTACTATTCAGTACTTAAACTCACTCTTGATCTCTGACAAACAACACGGATAGATCTATAAATACCACACCCATATATATTTACCAAGTTTATCTTTTGTCTTCGCCTTGATGATGAATTAATGCCCGACCTTCCTCAACACTCCCTGTTCATAGTTCATCCGGACACCCAGCATATCAGGAATTTTGTTAATTTGGAAGGCGTTCGGTCGTATATTCTAAGAAGGCAGTGCCGGCATGACTGGAGTTCACATCCCTATTTAATTCATTCACCTGAAATATAAAAAATACAAATTAATAATAGTACATTTGTAGGGGCAAACCCCAGGCAAAATCTAAAGCTAAACTCTGTAGAGATATGAGTGACTTCTGAAGGTAGCTTGATGGAAGTCTTGTACTGAACGGATAGGGACTGACATATTCAGTAATAGAAGCAATACCACATTAACTAATATGGCATATATCAGGTGGTGTTAGTAGGTGTGTAACCCAGGCACACTAATGAGCAATTTATGTGAAGCTACCAACACAACTCGTGATAGGTTCGGTATAATAACACAGCTTTCATGGAGTTCCGATGTCGCTGACCTAGACTTAGCAGTATTCTGCATAGACTTGCTGTAAAAGGCATGACATACTAGCTAACCACAAATGAAATGTCAGGGGAGATGAATGTCATAGCAAGAGAAAACTATTCAGCAAATCCATTCCAGACTTCGACAGTGCCAGTCTCTGGAAAAATAATGAGATATTCAACTTTGACTGAGATGAACCCTCAAAATTCTAATGCTGGCAGAAAGATTACTCGTAGAAAAAGAAAATATGGTCAAAAGCAAACGAAAAACAGCGACAGAAAATTCAACTTCATGCTTTGGCTGTCAAAAGAGGCTAAACGGTGCGTTGGTGGAAGCCACAACCGTAATATATCTTAATGGAGATTCTCCTTTTGCAATAATGGTAGGTGCATCCCAAGGGACTGTAGGGGTAGTTCCTAGTCACCAAGTTTACAATGTCTGAGAATCTGTCGCATGCATCATAAGTGGCTCAATCCTGCCGAATTGACGTATTCTACGTTCGGCATAGAGTTGCTGGCAAGCTCTCAATGATTCAAGGCAACTGAGAGTTCAGAATGCACATGAACACAGTGCAACGAACCACCATACACTTCAAGCACTGGCTGAGAATCGGAATGACATCGAGAGTTAAGGCAAATCCAAGGTGGAAACAGCTCGTCTCAAACTCAAACAATTACTATCTCCTGTAAGCGGTGACTTGATAAATAGCAGCAGATTATGAGATTCACTCAGTCTCTCCTTCCCTAGGATTATGGGAAAGACTATACTTGGTGATTTTCATTAGTTATCGTACTCTGCAGCGAAAGCCTAACCTAAATCGATCCTGGCAAGATATATTTGGTCAAACCTACAGCGCAATGCATAGAAGTAGGAGACAGGATGCATAGTAAGCTAGACGGTGTAAGTAAGTAGGCATACAATGTCACCTTTGGGAACATTCTCGTAATTGAATGCTAGTTTCGCCTATATTCATGTGAACTGGATAGGTCACCTGTAATACTATAACTGACTCACTTACCTATTCACATGCATTGGTAGATTCATCAGGTTCCCAGTAGCTGCTCCACCTACCGATTTTACGTCGGAAACAGCAGCAAAACCCTTTCTTTAACACTATGTAGCCATGTTCAAGCCACCTGCAACGGTCGCAGCTGACAGGAAAGGTCATTTCGAGCCACAGCTTTTCAAAGACTTGCCTAAGTACCTCGGATCACATAAAATCATCTGTACAACATGTCATCCTCAAGCCATAGAACGCATTGACATCTAATTCTAACCCCATTCGCTATGTGGAGTTCCTATCAGTGATAATGCTTGACATCTGAACATCAGTGAAAAAATACTGAATGTTCAGCTGAGGGGATGGTATTCGGAACAGCAGTTACATTCTCTGGCGACTTTATTACCATTAGTAGTGGAAACGAACTTGCTCAGGCTACATATGTTAATAGGCTTCGACTACAAATGACTCACTTAATGCCGACTTCAAAACAAGAAACGTCAATGGAGGCATATATACCTAGGGCCTTCAATTCCTGTTTCTATGTATTCACGCCAGACTTAATTACTTTGTTTTCCTGTATAGTTGGGGGCACAATCCGACAGGGATTAAGCAGTCTAGGTGACTGGAGCAGAAAGTAGCAAATGATTTTCACTCCAAGTGAGTGCTTGGATTCAAAGCATGTGTATATATGTACGACAATCTGCCTCCTCGACTATACGCAGCCAGAACTTAGCATAACATTCCTATTTAACCTTTTATGATCACGGAAATAAGGTGGTTTCTGACTTTCGACGAATTACTGTCTTCGCCTTGCACAATTTTATGCCCAGTATGGTTTGACTAGCAAATGGGGTATGTTGACATGTGTTCAACTGAAATTAGAGCCCCTATAGTTAGGGAAAGTGAAGTGTAAGTTATTTCCTCTATCCAAAGTTATTAGAAAACGCTGTCATGATCATTCAACCTCAGCATGGGCCGATCTTAAATATTATCAGTTACACAACCACGACTGCATTCTCAAGATAATTACCCACAATTAAAACGCTCGGGCTAACTTTTTCATTATTTTTCTGTTTCAACCTTTGAGACCAAGTGACTTCTGAAGCTAGATTTTATAGAAACACCAGTCAGCCAAAACGGAGCCTAGTAAACACGTTAGCATGTCCTTACCGGCTCGTCTGAAAGGTCACACCTGTTGGTAGTAAGGCAGAACAAGGACGGCCCAGTCTTTAACTAAGGTAAATATATCAATCCCACTTTAACCAGTCCACTACATGGTACCGATCAGTAGCTAAGGCTGATGAAATTGTAAAAAACTCTTGTGATCTCTCCATAGTTATGCAGTTGTTAGCTGACAATGTTGTGTGACTTATTCAACACATCCATCTCCATTTTACCAAGTTTCCTCTCCTTATAACCCCTAGTGAATGGGCCTAGTGTAGTTACTCCTAGAAAATATATCTTGGTAACTTTGCCTTCTATGAGTAGTACAATATATTCCAGTGTTCCTTGTAGAAATGACTCCATTCAGTCAAGAAATACCTATTTTCCCCAGACTTCTATGAAATGTGCAGTTTTTATTGGAATTTCTTTCATAACATCCTCCTCATACGATACCTAGACTGGTTGTTTTACGGTGTCTAACTCCCACCAGATAAAAAGCGGTCATGACAATTTAGTATAACAAGTTCCGCTATCCGGTTGCTTCCCATAAGATCATTACACCCACCCTCCACATCAACTCCTCCACTGATCACTTCAAGCTGCCCCATAGACCATGGCTAAATTTGATGTAGCATTGTCCAATTCTGTACTATCTGTCTTCGAAAACACTCAGCTTCCTGATCATTTTCAGCAGCCTTTCTATGCATTTATGAAGATAATACTTCTCCATTCACATGTATCTGTGTCAGGTGACCTATTGGGAAGCATCTGTCCTGAAAGCTAGTGACATGTTAAGTCTTGTATGAATAAGGCGGGCACGAAGCAATGTTACTACAACGGTTTTGCAGTAAAATTATTGGAGCTCAACTTCCCAAAACGATGCAGGTGGTGGATGTTGATAGGTAGGTATGCGGCGGTCACAATTATGAATGGCCCCGACATGTAGGACAGCAATCTTCCGACGTAGTTGTGTTGTCTGAGCTGGATGGTTTATTTGCGAAGCCTTCATTGCCTGCTAGGCAACATCTTCAGTGCATACTTCAATTTGAAGCGAGCTTTTAGATTTCTTCACGAGTTCATTAGTCATCTCTCCTAGTAGGTGACCTTGCACGATATTGGTTGTCTTTGTGTTTTCACATCGTCTAGTCTACTTGTATACAGGTACCGATTGTTTCCTTGACCTAAAGTTTGACTTTTCTGCGTGAGGTCTTCCTCTTATGGATTGGTTAATTTTATCTATGTCAATCTAGCTGTTAATTGCCGATTCACTGGAATACCAGGCTTCTAAAAATTCTTTCACGCTCTTGGCGCTTGCTCCGTTTTATATTTGAACGTTGTCCTAATCGAACTGATTTTGTGGTTGTCTGTATGTAGCGATATGAGGGAGCGGATGTCCTGTCTTCTGACGGCTAGTATATGTCCACAGACACGAAGACGAAGAGGAAGTCCACTTTGGCCAATGTGGTGTTTTTTCAGTCGTTGCAAATTATTTTGTGGATGATGTTGGTTTTCCGTGTTGATTCTTTTGGCTGACACAGAGTTGAGTGCAGTGATTTTATTGGTTTGTTTGCGGCATCAATTACTAAAGGTTTGAATAGTCTTATAGTGATTTCTGAGATGTCTTTTATATATGGTAAGGCGGTTTTCTTTGTGCTTTCCCTGGAGGCCTTTGATCTGGTAAGTTGGCTTGGGGGTAGATGTCTTTTGAGGAGTTTTCGTGGATATGTATTCCTTTGGAAAACGTACATGAAGTATCCGTCTTCAATTTTCCTTAAGGTGAGTTGGCTGCAATGAATTCTGGCCCACTTGAAAAGTGTGATTATACAACTCCTTTGCGTGTTAATGGATTGTTGCTGTTGTGATTGAGTACTTGATCTGTATAGGGTGATTTTCTATAAACTTGACTTACGAATTTTCTTTTGGCTTTTCGCTTGACTAGGTCGTTCGAAAATGAGATTTCATTCTCAGACTTCTCTTCTCGTTGAAAAAGCAGTTTATTAAGTTGTAAGTCTTTCTAACCCGGTTCCTGTGATTATTACAAATGTGTGTTATCTACGTGATGTATCCAAATTTTGGGCTTGAATTTTGGCAGGATTATGTTTTTGAGTCTTTGCATCACACCTTTTTCAATCAAACCTGATATGGGTGATCCCATAGGAGGTTTCTGACTTGT